TACTATGCTACATTGAAGAATAACAAGGGAGCTGCAAGCCACCACATAACATGGATGAACCTTGAGGACATTATGTTGAGTGAAATCAGTCAGTCACAAAAGGAGAAACACTGCACAGGACCACTACTGTAAAAGACTAAGGAAGAGAACCCACGCTAAAAAGGGGGAAAATATGTATTTGCTGATCACCAGGATGTGTGGGGTGAGAGGAGGGGAGGGAGGGAATTCAGGGCCCAGGAGAAAGACCAGCCAATCTGCTCTTTGTAAAGACCCCAGCCTAGGAACTGTCAGGGATTGAATTGTACCCTCCCCTAAAGCTGTCACCTTGACTGGAGGACCAGGACCGTGACTCTCAGCGACTTGGCACTTATGGGGTGATGTAATCACCCCTCTTTTGTGATCTGACATAATGTATTCATTTCCAGGATGAGATCTACTGTGAGCAGCCAGTCAGTAGGAAGGGAGCTCCCATGGGCTGTGGCCTGCAGAGAAAAGGAGAGAGATGCGAGCAGAGAGGGAGGGACCTGCGCTCGCGCTCGCCAAGAAGCCCGGAGCCCAAGTGGAGCACACCCGATGGACCCATGGAGAGCGCCAAGGAATGATGGGCCAGAGGCAAGGACCTTTCCACAGAGCCCACACAGAGAAACTTTCCCCGAGACCTAGCCTTCTAAATTTGGAATTCTGGCCTCCTAAATTGTGAGAGACTAAATGTTTGTTACTGCTAACCCCTTAGGATATTTCTATTATAGCAAGAGAGAACTAAGAAACCCAAGGGGGCGGTTCTACGTTGTCACACAAGAGCTGTATGAGTCAGAATGAACGCCACAGCGCCCAACAACCGTGTTCATGGGGGACAGGTAGACCCTGAAGCTTGCACCTGTGAGTCTCCCACCTTCTCCTTGAACTGCGCTTCCTTTTCCAGACCCACACAGAGGCTTCTGGGATCCCCTATTACAACTGCTGCAGAAAGTATAAAACTGATTCTGTCCCCTGCTCTGGAGACAGGACTACTTCGCAGGTCTTGGATCATTTTAAATGATGGACGAATGGAAGCTAGGAACCCCGGGAGGGATCGGAAGGAGTCCTGTTACCTTAAGACAATTATAGCCAATGTCATGAAACAAAGTGTGTCTACATTGTGGAGTGGAAAAGGGAGCTGCGTTGTGTTCATTGGAATCACAATAAAATTATTGATGGCAAATGGGTCCGGAGATACTGTCTCCTCAAACTGAGTTCAGGGAGCGAAGTGGCAGTGTCCCACTCACAGTCCTAAAACCCACTGCTGCTGAGTTGCTCTCAGCTCGGCAAGACGCTGAGGGACAGAGCAGAACTGCGCCGGAGTCTCCAAGGCTGTCGTCTTTACAGAAGATGGCTTCAAACCACTGACCTCTGGATCAGTGCCCAAGGGCTTTAACCACTGTATCACCACCCTAGCCCTCCCAAGGACTGTGCATTCCAACCTTCCCAGGTTTAAAGGGAAAAGGGAGAAGCTGAGCTCACCTAGCTCATCAAGGTCAACTCGCCTCCTCACCTGCTGTGGCTTTGTGTTCCGAGGGGCCCCACCTTCCGCCACCTGGACCAGGGGTATGGGGTCTTCATGACTCAGTGGAAGTCGAGTGCTCCTTGGGAATCCTCTTAGCTCTTGGAGAGCAGCTTGCTGTGAAACATGAACAGCTAAAAGTCAGACCCATTACCGTCTTGAGCGTGACTCCAGACCCCCGAACAGTCCAGCGTCTGACAGAGGAGAGCAGGGCTCAGTAGGCTTTCCTTGGTTGTGACCTATTGGAGGCCAATCTCCAGGCCTCCCTTCCACTGTGCCTAGGGGTAGGTTCAAACCGCCTCCCTTTAGGTAGGTGGTTAAGGGCAAACGGCTTGCGCCGCTGGGGTCCTCTCATGAAACTAGGAATGGTCTTTGTTATGATTGAAACCAAGCATCATGACTTTCCTTGCAGTGGAGAGCAGAGACGGGCCGTGTTTGCAGTCAGAACTCGTTCTTTGTGAGCACAGCCTGGGTCACGCAGGGCCCATCCCTCATCTTGGAATTTAAGTTAGCCACTGTCTCAGGAGTCGGCGTCTGTGATGCCGCCAGCCCCTGGTCCTGCTCATGTAACAGAGTAGATGTCATCTTTCAGGACCCCTGGTGGCACTTGTGAGTTAGGTGTTGGACTGATAACATCGAAGTCGGTGGTTCAAACCCACCATCTGCTCAGAGGGAGAAAGACGAGGCGGTCAGCTCCTGTCGAGTTGCCGCCTTTGAAACCATATGGGACAGTTCTCTGTCCAGTGCGGTCTGAGTCAGGACCAACTTGATGGCCGTGGGTTTGGGTTGGTTGCACAGTAGATGAAGCATTGGGCTGCTAACTGAAAGGTCAGCAGTTCAAACCCACCCTCTGCTCAGTGGGACCAAAGACAAGGCAGTCCGTTTCAGTAAAAGATTAAGGCTTCAGGAACTCTAGGTCATAGAGGGTCTCTGTGGGTCATTTGGTGGAGCAGTGGTTAAGCTTAGTCTGAACCCACCAGCTGCTCCACTGGAGAGAAATGAGGTGGTCGGCTTCCGTAAAGATTTATAGTCCGGAAGCCCTATGGGGAACTTCTCCTCTGTCCTTTAGTGTCGCTGTGAGCAGGAACCCACTCGATGGCAGTGATTTGGGGGTTTCATCTGTGCAGGAGCTGGGTGGCTGTGAACTGCCCACCTTCTCGTTAGCAGCTGAGGGCGCCACCATTCAGTCCCTTTCCCTAGTTCCAGACAGTCATTGTGTTGATAATTTTCTGTCCCCGGCAGCAGTTCCGCACCGTGACTATAATTCATCATGGCCCTCTACATTGACCATCGCATAGAAGCCCCCGAATCGGCCGGCCCACCTTCCCACATCAGCTGGCATCCTGTTCACCCCTTCCTGGCGGTGGCCTCTGTCAGCCCCACCTTGGGAGGCAGCGTGGATGTTTATCTGGAACAGGTGAGACGTACAGCAGCCGCCCTCGCTTCAGTTGCTCCCGGCTCTTCTTTGTGTTTGTGTGTGGTGTGTGTGTGGTGGGTGTGTGGTGGGTGTGTGGTGTGTGTAGGGAGGAGTGTGGGGGTTGTGGGGAGGTATATAAGGAGTATTATGGGGCTAATCAAGTATGTATATGGTGTGTATCAGGGGTATGTATGAGGTGTTTAGGTGTGTAGTGGGGGGTGTGTATGTGTGTGTATGTGGGGTGTGTAATGTGTGTAGTGTGGGGTGTGTATGTGTGTATAGTGGGGGGGTGTAATGTGTGTATGTGGGGGGTGTGGGGAGTGTGTGTATGTATGTGTGTGTAGTGGTGTCTGTGTGTGTGCAGTGTGGGGTGTATATGTAAGACCAAAAGTTCTGGTCTCACTTTTGCTGAAGAAAGCACAGACTGGCCGTGGTCAGTGCTCATTAAAGTCCAAATTCCCAACATCTGTTGGTAAGGGGCTCTGCTGGCACCATAGTTAAACCTAAAGGTCAGCAGTTCAAACTCACCCAGTGACTGTTGGAGAAAGAGCTGTGCTTGCGTTGTTGTTTCAATGCCAACTATGGATCCAGTTTGCTCCTGGTACCTTTGTAGCCACAGATGGGGTCAGGAAGAACCCTGGTGGTGCGGTGGTTATAGCACCCAACCAGAAAGCCTGCTGTTTGAACCCACCTGCTGCTCTTAGGGGGGTGCTGCTCTTAGGGGGGAAGAGAGGGCTGCCTGCCCTTGTAGAGAACGGCCCAGGAAGCTCCGCGCAGCAGTTGTACGCTGTGCTGTCGAGCACCAGGAGTTGGAATTGACCCACAGTGCCCGACAACCACAGTTCTGTCTTCTAGCTAGAAGTGCGTTGAGCGTCTACCGCCATCCTGAGAAGCGGTCTTCCTCTCGTCCCTGCAGGGCGAGCGTGCGCCTGACTCACACATCGAGCGGTCGTGCCGAGCAATGTCACTGTGTTGGCACCCCATGCGCCTCGTCCTGGCCGTCGGCTGGGAGACGGGGGAAGTGATGGTGTTTAACAAGCAAGACAAGGGACAGTACACCATGCCCTCACCACACACCACCGACATCACTGTGCTCGCCTGGAGCCCCAATGGAAACTGCCTGCTGTCTGGAGACCGGGTAAGCACACTGCCAATGCTGCTGCTGGTAGATGTTGGTGACAGGTTTATTTGTCTTATTGCAGTTAAATACATGAAAGGAAGCCCAAAAATACTGCTGTAGAATCATAGAAACCTTATTACACAAACTATCTAAATGTGAAGCTATTGTTTCTCAACATATCCGCCATCTAGTTCTAGCCACTTTGCAGGATGATGTGTCCATCTCTCTAACCCTTCCCAGTGGATTCTGGGCTCTTCAATTTACATCATGTCAAAACAGCGTCCTTGGGGGACTCAGAGAATTTTCCCTTTCACTGTTCTTTATGTTTTAGTAATAAAAAGAAGTAGGAAGAGGCCGTGTCAAGGCCGTAGGGTGGCTGGGTAAGATTTCCCAGTGAAATCCTCACAGAGCAGGCCTTGCTATCTTTAAAGGCACATTCGTTATTGTGATGAAAAAATTCATAGGTGCAACTTTCCTGCACTTTCCCTCAGTTTTCAATTGTCTTAAAACATCTTCATAATCAGCCTTCATAATTGTCTTGCATTGTTTGAGAAAATCTATCAAGATAACCTCTTTAGATTCTCAAAAAAACAGTCACCGGAACCTTCTCATCTGACCTCTGTCTTGAATCTAACCCAGCAGTTCCCCTCAGAAGCACTACTTGGATTCAACCTTTTTTTTTTAATGTTTTGTTGTGAATTATGTGACAGTTTACATGGGAGAACATTGGTTTTACATTCATCCTATCGTGTGAATTATGTGACAGTTTACATGGGAGAACATTGGTTTTACATTCATCCTATCGTGTGAATTATGTGACAGTTTACATGGGAGAACATTGGTTTTACATTCATCCTATCGTGTGAATTATGTGACAGTTTACATGGGAGAACATTGGTTTTACATTCATTCTATCGTATAGCGTCTCATTGCTTGATCCAACCTTTTTTGAAGTCACCCTAATATGACTAAGACGTGTACACATTACTGAGAGAACTCGTCTGCAGCCCTCCATTAATTGCAGAGACATGATTAGGCACGTTTTGTTTGGAATAAGTCCATTCTTGTTTAAACTAGAATCCTTAAAGTACTGTCAAGCTGTTCTGACTCACAGCGACCCTGTATAGGGTTCCTAAGGCTGTATATCTTTGTGGGAGCAGAAAGCGTCATCTTTCTCCAGCTGGTGGGCTCGAACTACCAATGCTGTGGTTTGTAGTCCAGTGCTTATCCTACAGAGCCAATGTCTGCATCCCCAGAACCCTAGTAGCAATGCTTTCTGACACACCCTTGTTTATATAACAAAAAACGCCATCTGAAAGCCATATCAGAGCCCTTAATTACATTTCCTATGTGGGACAAACGTGACTACCCATTTCCAAATGCCCTCAGCACCTTGTCCAGAACCCTCAGTAACTTCTCATCTGCCGCCCAGTCTCTTCTCAAGCTTGCACGTCAGTGAGTTCACACACTGTTTGTCCTTGAATGTCCAGCTTCTTCACTCAGCACCGTGTCTACAGGGCCTGTCCTTGTCCTCACTGTACCAGAACCCCTCAGTTACCTACTGCTGCTATCGCAGTGGTCGATTTCAACAAATAGAAATTTATTTTCTCAGTTTAGGAGGATCGCTGTCCAAACTCCTGGTGCTGGCTCTCGGGGAAGACTCTGTCTGTCTCTCTGGGCCAGGTCTTGGTGCCTTGGTTCCTTGCTGATCTGCATGTGGCTTGCCATCTCTCTTCCCCCAGCTCTGCTCTCTTGCTTTCTTGTTCATTCTCTTTTATATCCCTTGAGAGACTGGTTTAAGACCCATCCTACCGAAATCCTGTTTGATTAACATAACAAAGAAAAGTCCATTCTCAAATGGGGTTACAACCAACCATGGGAAGAGTAGGATTTACAGTCCATAACAGTCATAACCAAAGATTGGCACTGATTACCACCCCTGCGTCCCCTTGTATGTGACCTCACAGGCACAGATTGGAAAGCATGCTAAGGCCCCAGTCACCGAGCTGTAGAGTGTGTCTGCCAAGCTGAAATGATCTTTAATGTAACAACACACTGTCCACTGTCCAAGCGGGCCGTGTTCACTTGTGCCTTGCTTTATGGCGCTCTGCAGACAAAATCTTTTTTTTTTTTTTTTTACAAATGGAAGGTTTGTGACAACCTGTGCCGAGCAGGTGTATTGGTGCCGTTTTTTTCTAGCCTCATGTGTCTGTGTGCCCTGCTTCGGTCATGCCTCCAATAGTGCCAACTTGTTCATCATTCCATGGCACACTTGACAGACTCCAGTCTGGTGGAATCGTGACCTTCATGTGCACTGGGGAGCCAGAGGTTTGCGTGACTCCCTTTGTTTTGATGTTCTTTTTGCTGCCGTGTCTGAAAGCAAACCCGCCACATCTCTGAAGCACATCTGTACTGGAGGCGGGGCCGGAGCTCGTTGGTAGTTATGGGGTGTGGGAAGTCACACATTGTTGTTGTTGGGTGTCGTGGAGTCGAATCCAAGTCATAGTGACTGTAAGGACAGACCAGAAGTGTCCTGTAGAGAGCATCAGTACGGGTAAGACTGGCTCTGTGGCACAGGGCTGTGCCCTCCCAAACAGGTGTCAGCTTGGCCACGTCCTGAGTCTCAGTGGGGTGTGACCTGATGTAATTCCCTGTGGGTCAGAACTGCTCCCTGCTATGACACTAAAGAGGCCGTGATGTGAACGAGGCAGGGTACAGCCTACGGGACTAGGTTGCCTCTTCTGAGATTATAAAAGAGATGAAACAGGCAAGTAGAACCAAGAATCAGGAGTGGAACGGCTCATTTGGACCCGGAGTCTGTGTGCTGACTCCTCCTAGGGGAAGCCTGATGCCAAGACACACGGAACTGTCTAAACACTCCGAGGGGACCAGGACCCCGGAGCCAGCAGCCTGAATTCAGCCTTCTACCCGACCTAACTGTGAGAGGACTCGTTTCTGTTTGTTGACGTTATAGCAGCCCAAGAGAATTAGGAGGACTGGACTTTACCGGGGTGAAGGTCCTGCTGAGAGCGTGCCCGAGGAGGACCTTCACTTCTGTACTGTTACTGTTGCTGTCAAGTTGGTTCTGACTCATAGCGACCCTGTGGTCCAAACCGACCTCGCAGTCCAGCGTGGTCACCTGCAGCGCCACCCCAGAGCACCAGCCCAGTGTCACGGTGGCAGACCCCACTCCTCAGACACGGAGCTGCATGAAGCAGCAGGAGATGTGACGATCCTGAAGCAGAGAAAAGGACGCTCCTTGGGGGACATGGGGACTCTTGAAAAAGTACAGATGTAGTCCTTAAAAAGACCACAGTGTTGGTTTGTTCCTTGAGACAGCTGGGCCACACCAACGGGGACTCTTCACGACAGAAGAGCCGGGGGCGGTGCACAGGTCTTCTGTGCTCTTCCCAAGCCTTCCGTGAATAGAAGTCTCCTGGAAAACTGGAGCTTTAGCCAACAGCCCAGCATAGGGGCATCTCTAGGGAGTCGGGGGCAGAGAGGCACAGAGAGGGCCCTGAAGTTGGCATTTTTGATACCTCGACTGCTTTGAGTTTGCATGGCCAGTGGGGAATTTAGCAATTTTTTTAAAAAAAGGAATAAGCCTATGATCCTTTTTTTCTCTTTTAAATAATAATACAACAGGGCTTCAAAAAGTCTGTGGGCCAAAGGAATGAAAAGAGGATGGGATTCTGTCACACGATTTCTGAATCCCTCTCTCATACTTCAGGGTGTTGTCCTGGTCGGTCACTGCCCTCTCTTGTCCAGTTTGCATGCCTGCCCACTCGTGGGTGACCGCTGATTACTACAGCTGTTGCATATGTACTCAGAATTGTGTCTGTAGGACTGACCTCTGTGGCCTGTAAATCTTGGAGCCCTGGTGGTGCAGTGGGTGAAGCATGGGTTGATAACCAGGAGGTCGGTGGTTCAAACCCATCAGCCGCTTAGTGGGAGAGGTGAGGCAGTCTGCTTCTGGAAAGGTGACAGACTTGGAAACCCTGGGGCTGTTCTGTCCTACTCTAAAGGTCGCTATGAATTGCTTGCAGTGGGTTCGATTGGTTTGATTGGTCTGAGCTTCTCGCTCGGTGGCTTCCTTCTTTGACTTCGTGTTGGTGTCCCCTGTACTATGTATGGCCTCTCCCCTAACCCACAGGGATACATTTCCCGCCTCCTGTACTATGCATGGCCTTTCCCCACATGAGGACGTGTCTCCCACTCCCCGGACTGTGACTTGTTGGCGTTGATCTTTCCAGATTGGCGCGCTGCTCTTGTGGCGGCTGGACCAGCGAGGCCGAGCCCAGGGACCACCCTTGCTGAGACACGAGTTTGGGAAGCACCTGACGCACTGCATCTTCCGGCTGCCCCCGCCCAGCGAGTACGTGACGTTGCTGGGCACTGTTGGTTTTCACCCAGTGACCCCTGACCCCGAGGGTCTCCAAGGCCGTCAGCTTTGCAGGAACACATTTCCAGGCCTTCTTCCCTCAGAGCAAATGGGGGCTCAGCTGGGGGGGCTCAACCGGGACTCAACTGGGGCTCAGCTGGGGCTCAACTAGGGGCTCAACCGGGGCTCAGCTGGGGGTGCTCAAGCCACTGACCTTTCGGTCAGGAGTTGAGCCTGGAGCCGTCTGCACCATCTTGGCTCCTGGCATCGCTGTCTGTGGTTGCCGTGTGCCACTGAGTCCAGTTCGGTGACCCCTCATGGCTGAGTAGGTGGCGCTGTGGGTTAAGCACTGGACTGCTAACCATAAGGACAGCAGTTCAATCCCACCAGAGCTGCGACAGTGTTTACATGCTCACTGTGGCCCTGGGCAGAGACGGGCTTTGTGGGGACTGGGTGGCAGTCGCGGCCCCAGCAGAGGCAGGTCTGTGCTTACAGCCTCTTCCTACATGGTGTGCAGAGAGCCCGTCACACCACGTGCCATCTCTGCTTTCAGGGACCTCGTGCAGTTGGCAAAGGCTGCGGTGAGTGGTGACGAGAGGGCGCTGGACATGTTCAACTGGAAAAAGAGCGGCTTTGGAAGCTTCCAGAAGATGGGGCCGCATGAGGGGCTGTCCTTCTTTGTCAGCCTAATAGATGGTGAGGAGCCACATCATGATGAACGGACGTCCAGAGTTTCAGGGGGTTGGCAGTGGATGTAAATGAAAGGACGTCAGCATTTCAGGGGGCTGGCAGTGAACGTAAATGAATGGACGTCAGGGTTTCAGGGGGCTGACAGTGGATGTAAATGAATGGACGTCCAGAGTTTCAGGGGGTGACAATGGACATAAATAAACAGACGTCATCATTTCAGGGGGCTGACAGTGAATGTAAATGAATGGATGTCAGGGTTTCAGGGGGCTGACAGTGGATGTAAATGAATGGACGTCCAGAGTTTCAGGGGCTGACAATGGACATAAATGAACAGACGTCATCATTTCAGGGGGCTGACAGTGAATGTAAATGAATGGATGTCAGGGTTTCAGGGGGCTGACAGTGGACGTAAATGAACAGACGTCATCATTTCAGGGGGCTGACAGTGGATGTAAATGAATGGACGTCAGTGTTTCAGGGGGCTGGCAGTGGGTTAAAGGAATGGATGGTGTTTCTGCAAACCCTAACAGCAGGCTGCACGTGTGCCAGACATAGAGTGGTGCGTGAGCTCTTGGTGGGTGCAGTCGAGTTGCTTCTGACTCCTAGCAATCCACGTGGCAGAGTGAACCTGCCCCTCGGGTTTTCTAGGCTGTCATCTCTATGGGAGCAGATTGCCACTTCTAGTTCCTGCAGAGCAGTAGATAGGTTTGAACCACCAAGCTTTGGCTAGCAGCCGAGCACTTAACCATTGCACTACCAGGGCCCCTTGATATAAGTTAGCTGGTATCCTGCACGTACGCGCTGTGTTTTGAGTGAGACAGATGCTGAGTTGTGTGTCTCAAGAGGGTGTGGCAGCATGACCTGGCCAGTCAGTAGCCTCAGGCCATCCCTGTCGCCCACACTGTAACTACTATGACCTGCCAGGTGTTCAACCCAACTCCGGAAGTCTGAGTTTTAAACTTCCCCCAAGTTCATAAAAACAGTTGCTCAGGATGCCAGTGTGGGAGTCACACCTGCCCCCATGTGTGTGGCGTTTGCTCTTGCCTGCAGGCACAGTACACTCTGTGGACGAGAAGGGCAACAAGATGCAGGTGGCCTCCGTGGACAGCCCCATACAGACCCTGCTCTACATGGAGCAGCGGGAGACGCTGCTGGTGGTCACAGCCACGCTGCTCCTGTCTCTGTACACAATGACGTCCGAGGGCAAGGCCGAGGAGACCCTGAAGGTGGGTGAGGGTGGGTGGGCACATGAGGGTCCAGAGCCACTGCCACCAGAACCCCAGGAGACAAGCCAAGTCCAACCCATTGCTATAGGGTCAGTTGCAGCTGAGAGTCCCCCTGTCGGGAGCAGGCAGCCTAGTGGGTTCTGACTGCTCAAGTTTCGGTTAGCAGGAGAGTGCTTGACGGTTGTACCACCAGGGCTCCTCTAGGACCAATACCTCATTCCTGGGTATTCCCGAGGCTCCATGGTGGCCAGTATGTTGTGGTTGTGGCTGTGTGCCATGGAGCCTGGCTTGGAGTAAGACTTCAGTTGAAATCCCATGTTGTAGTCTCTCAGGTGGGGGCATCATCTGTTCCCCGTGCAGTAGGGATGGGAGAGTCGAGAGGCTCTGTCCTGGGTGGTGGGGTTGTGATTTCACTTCAGAGTCGCTGCAGACACGTGCTTACTGACCAGTGCTCGCCACTACAGCCATCTGCTCTGGTTTGCTGGCCCACGTACCCTCCCTAGGCCCCGCCGTTGGCACGGTGCTTCCTCCTTTGGTACATCCTCCAGGCGATGTTTGCTGGGCTCCATGGGGCTTCAGAAATCACAGGCTGGGCTACCTCCAGGCTGGGCCTCTGTCCCACAGGTCAAGCTGAGTGGGAAGACCGGCCGCCAGGCGGACATCGCTCTGATCGAGGGCAGCCTGCTCGTCACGGCCATTGGGGAAACTGTGCTCAGGTGAGACATGGGTTCACATCAGAACTGAGGCAGACACAGACGTGTTGTGTACGGAGCCTCAGGGTCCACAGCAGCTCTGACTCAGGCACTCTCACAAGGCCACTCTCTGGGCTCCCTCTTCCCCTGCAGGTTTTGGGACTTAGAACGTGGTGAGAATTATATACTGAGCCCAGACGAGAAGTTTGGCTTTGAGAAAGGAGAGAATATCAATTGTGTCTCATACTGCAAAGTCAAAGGTGAGTCCTCCATGCTGGCGTCAGGACACATAAGCCCCAACCGGGACCTCGCAGGGGCCATGGAACAGTCATGACAGTGTCAGCCCTGCCAGTCAACATGGCTGAGGCCGATGGGGCATTAAAACCTGTTGTCCACCTGAGGGCTCTGGTGTGGCCAGCCCACATGTGTGCACAGCCATCTCTGGTCCCTCCTGGAGCCCCTGAAGGGGACAGTGTGGGACATGCATACTTACATGTGTGCACACACAGGTACACGTGCACACACAGACACATACCCATGTGGGTGTGTGGGTGTCTCAGGTCTCTCCTCAGGCCCTGTGAGGAGGACTATGTGAAATACACACTATGATATACACATACACACAAACACGCACACATGCATGTGAACTGCGCACACAGACCCATATGTGTACATGTATACTTCTCCACACATGCATACAACCACACATGCACACATCTGTGTTTGTGCACTGTGTACACACGTACCTGCGCACACACAAATGTAACATCAGGCACTGCATTTGTGTGTATTACATGTTGGTGCACGTGTACATGTGCGTATATTCCAGCACCTATATGTAAGTGTAAACATGACCGCATGCACACACAAGCCAGATGTGGCATTCGTCCAGCTGATCTTTTTCGCGTCCATGGTGTGTACATACTACTAACCTGAAGGCTGGTTGGCAGTTTGAACCCAGAAGAAAGGCTTGGTAATCTGCTTCTGTGAAGATGTTTGTTAAGGGCTGGCGAGTCAGTTTCATCCTATAGTGACCGACGTCCATCACTGTGTCGCACTGTGGTGCCTTGTGAGGTGCTGTGATTCTGGAAGCTATGCCACCGGCATTTTAAATACCAGCAGGGTCACCCATGGTGGACAAGTTTCAGATGCGCTTCCAGACTAGGAAGAAAGAGTGACGAGCTGCTTCCGAATATTGAGTCACTGAAAACCTTATAGCAGAGAAACACTGTCAGATACAGGGCCGTAAAGTGAGCCCCTCGGGTTGGAAGGCACTCAAAATGCGACTGGGGAAGACCTGCCTCTTCAAAGAAGAGTTGACCGTGATGACGTGAATGGAGTAAAGCCCGTGGGAAAAAAGCCCACGGGACCTTCATTTGCTGATGGCGCACAACTCAAAATGAAGAGAAACAGCTGTAAATGTCCTTTAATAATCAGAACATGGAATGTATGAAGTAGGAATCTAGGAAAATTGGAAATGGTCAAAAATGAAATGGAACGCGTAAACATTGATGTCTTAGGCATTAGTAAGCTGAAATGGACTGGTATTGGCCATTTTGAATCTGACAACCACATGGTTTACTATGCAGGGAATGACAAATTGAAGAGGAATGGTGTTGCATTTATTGTCAAAAAGAACATATCCAGATCAGTCATGAGGTATAACACTGTCTGTGATAGGATAATAACCATGCACCTACAGGGAAGCCCAGTTAATACCACTATTATTCAAATTTACGCACCAACCACTAAAGCCAGTGAGGATGAAATAGAAGAATTCTACCAACTTCTTCAATCTGAAATTGATCAAACATGCAATCAAGATGCATTGATCATTACTGGTGATTGGAATGCAAAGGTTGGGAGCAAAGAGGAAGGATCAGTAGTTGGAAAATATGGCCTTGGTGATAGAAATGATGCTGGAGATCGCATGATAGAATTCTGCAAAACCAATGATTTGTTCATTTCAAATACCTTCTTTAGATAGCATAAGAGACGACTATACACATGGACCTCACCAGATGGAATCCATAGAAATCAAATTGACTACATCTGCGGAAAGATATGATGGAAACGCTCCATATCATCTGTGAAAACAAGGCCAGGGGCAGACTGTGGAACAGACCATCAATTACTGATAACGCAAATTCAGACTGAAGCGGAAGAAAATGAAAACAAGTCCACAAGAGCCAAAATATGACCTTGAATAGATCCCACCAGAATTTAGAGATCATCTGAAGAACAGATCTGATATATTAAAGACAAAAGACTAGAAGAGTTGTGGGATGACATCAAGAACATCGTACAGAAAGAAAACAAAAAGTCATTAAGATGACAAGAAAGAAGGAAAAGGTTAAAATGGATGTCAGAAGAGACTCTAATATTTGCTCTCCAGGCATAGCAATGCTAAAGCAAATGGAAGAAATGAGGAGGTACAAGAGCTGAACAGAAAACTTCAAAGATCAGCTCGAGAAGATAAAGCCAAATATTACAACACAATTTACAAAGATCTTAAATCAGAAAACCAAAAAGGAAGAACACGCTCAGCATTTCTCAAGGTTAGGGAACTGAAGAAAAAATATCAAGCCTCGACATTCATTATTGAACGATTCTCTGGACAGATTATTGAATGATGCAGAAAGCATCAAGAGAAGATGGAAGGAATACACGGTCAGTGTATTAAAAGGAAATGGTTGATGTTTAACCATTGCAAGAGGTAGCATGTGATCAAGAGCCAATGATACTGAAGGAAGAAGTCCAAGGTGCATTGAAGGAATTGGCAAAGAACAAGGCACCAGGAACTGATGGAATAAAAATTGAAATCTTTCAAGAAAGTGAGGCGGCACAGGAGGCACTCACTCATCTCTGCCAAGAAATTTGGAAGACAGCTATCTGGCTGACTGGAAGAGATCAGTATTTGTGCCCATTCCACAGAGAGGTGACCCAACAGAATGCAGAAATCATCAGACAATCTCTTTGATATCCCAAGCGAGTAAAGTTTTACTAAAGGTAATACAGAAAGGGCTGCAAGCATACGTTGACAGAGAGCTTCCAGAGGTTCAAACCGGATTCAGAAGAAACGTGGAATGAGGGATATCATTGCTGACATCAGATGGATCTTGGCTGAAAGCAGAGAAATATCAGAAAGATGTTTACCTGTGCTATATTGACTACGCAAAGGCTTTCAATTGTGTGGATCATGACAAGCTATGAACAACATTGTGAAGTATGAGTATTCCAGAACACTTAATTGTGCTCATGAGAAATCTGTACATGGATCAAAAGACAGTTGTTCGGACAGAACATGAAAACACTGAATGGTTTAAAATCAGGAAAGGTGTGCGACAGGGTTGTATTCTTTCACCATACTTATTCAACCCATATGCTGAGCAAATAGTCCAAGAAGCTGGGTTCTATGAAGAAAAACGTGGCATCAGGATTGGAGGAAGACTCATTAACAACCTG